TAATGTAGGGGCCTTACTATTTAGAATAGGGTTTAGGGTTTAGGGTTTAGGGTTTAGGGTTTAGGGTTTAGGGTTTAGGGTTTAGGGTTTCCGTGTTTAGGGTTTAGGGTTTTGGGGTCTCCTTTTAAAGGGTTCAATAAAGGGTTCTAAAGGGGCTACTATAAGGGTTTAGGGTTTAGGGGCCTTAATATTTAGAATAGGGTTTGGGGATATAGTATGCTATAGTTATAATAAAGAACCCCCAAAACTCTATTCTAATTACTAAGGCCCCGACGGTACAGACTCCGCAAATCGAGCTGTCTGTCTTGAGTATTACCCCCCCATACAGTAACAGTCTATAATAGGGCTACTATTGAGGGCCATATATATATATATATACACACACAGTATATATACTAGTCAAGGGGTAACAGTCTGTAAGAGGGCTGCCAATTTAAGGGCGCTGTATATCCATATTAAAGTTATATGTCATACATATATATATATATATACACATATATATATATACATATACATATATATATATATATATGTATATTTATTAACTTATTTATATTACATGAACCTTACTCACTGATTCAAGTATATATCTATCTTATGAACCTTATACAACTGCTACTGACTGCGGGGGGCGGGGCGGTAGCCAAGTGATGCGATGCGAGCTCTCTGTCCGAGACCGAGGCAACGAGGCAAGTCACGTTGTCAGAGGTCCCACGGGCCTCGGCCCCGACGAGCGGCTTAAAGAACTTAAAGAACACATGAGATAAGATGGTAGGCTGTGATATAGGGTTCTGTGGCATAGTTTACTATAAATAGAGTAAGGAAGCACCAAAATAGTACTTAGAGGATCATGGGACTTAGAAACTAGGGTTATAAATGAGGTAACTATACTTGTAAGTAATTATGACCCTGATTAAGGTAGTTGTAACCTTACTTACTAAGTCCCATGATCCTCCAAGTATGAGATAAGATGGTAGGCTGTGATATATGAAAATAGAAAATGACATATGATGTAAGACAGTAGAAATGGATATACTGTAGAAACCTTGATATTTAGAGCAACTAGAATAGGGTTTTAGGGCCCAATATACTGGGTTTGGGGGCCCAATATACTGTATTTCTAGTAAGGAACCCCCAAAATAGCACGAGGAAATTTAGGCCCTTACATTATGAGAGTTATCATTTTTATTCTCGTTATTACTACTAGTAGTATCTATCATTACTTTTGGTATTGGTATCAGGGCTGATGCCACGGAGCCCTTCCACCCTGCCTGCTGTCTCGGCCCCTGGCCAAAGCCTCTTCGATCAGAATCCGAGCCTCAAGATAGAAGCTCGCGACAGTTTCGGGTTTAGGGCTTTAGGGCTTTAGAGCTTTAGGGCTTTAGGGCTTTACGGCTTAGGGCTTCGAGGGCTTTAGGGGTTAGGGTTTTAGGGTTTCGGGATTTCGGAGCTGGCGTCGCCTGCTTGGCTTTGAGTAGGATCCGGGCTGCGGATGCTGAGCTCCACGCCGCCATTTGGCCCAGGCTCTTCTCGTGGCCTCGGTTTCGGGTTTAGGATTAGGCCTTTTTGGGTTTAGGGTTTAGAGTATAGGATTAGGGCTTAGGGTTTAGGGTTTAGGGTTTAGGGTTTAGGATTTAGGGTTTTAGGGTTTAGGGTTTAGGAGTAGGATTCAGGGTTTAGGGTTTATTGGCTCTTCCGTGGCCCGTGCCAATAAGATCTCTATACCTTCGGATTTCTTCGGATTTCATGCGTTGTAACGACAGTCTAGCGACATTCCAGCACCTCGACCCTTACACCTCAACAACGGATTTGAAGAAACTGAATAAGCAGCTCAGCCGGAGACCAGCGCTGCAAGGATCTTCTCCGATCAAGGTCGTGAATTGTTCTGGCCAGCTTGCGCATGTCGGATCTGCGGCTCTTTGAAGCTTCAGAAACCAAACTTCACCGAGAAGCCCAGTGAAAAGAGACTATGTGTCTTCTTCTCTAAACCCTAAACCCGAAGAAAGCGCAGCGAAAGGAATTCGGGGGGAGCCCAGAGAACCCAATACACCCTAATTAAGGAATATACCTTAAATTATAGTGGCCTCATTTTCTCATAATTCTAGGTATATTCCTTAATTGAGATGTATTGGGTTCTCCGGGAGGGCTTTCCCGTAACGCAGGCCGGTGTTTCGCATGCCCTCGATGACCAAGTTTGCAGCATCCTGGTCATCGAGGACGTCCCAAAGCCTGCAAGAGGACTGTAATATACTATAATTATGATAAGGTACCCCCAAAATTGTATTGGCAATTATTCAGGCTTCTATATTGTAAGGTTCTTGTAAGGATTACAGGGTACTATAGGTTCCTACTGGAGTTGCTATGAAGCTCTTCTTCGGGTTGCTATAAGGGCTACCTATCAGGTTTTTGTAAGGGCTGCTGGATAAGGTTCCAACCCTAAACCCTAAACCCTAAACCCTAAACCCTAAACCCTAAACCCTAAACCCTAAACCCTAAACCCTAAAGACCCTAAACCCTAAAGACCCTAAAGACCATAAACCCTAAAGGCCCTAAAGACCCTAA